GAAATATTCAAATCTTGATAAAAAGTCATCCGGAGCTTCGATTTCAACAAACTTATAGTCAAACTGATCGGCTTGATGAGACGAACCTAATGATATGAAAACTAGCCCAATCCGAGTCAAACCAAGCCCAGATCAAGTCATTGAACCACACTTAAAGGATTTTTGTATACATTTGAAAGATCAAAGGATTGTCGAATATGACAAGTTTATACTCGAATCGAACGGCTCGACAAGATGAATCCAACGAGCCCAAGATCACTCAATTCTGACATCATTAAGGCACTCAAATGTTCAGTAAACGTTGTTTGATTGGAGGAAGCTCTCCAGACCGTCTGAACAAAATGATTCATATTCATGCATTAATGAGACCCAAAACACTATAAATGGAGCCCCATCCTTCACATGAGGGGAGTTAAAAGCTTCAGAGAGAACTGGAAGCTCTAAGAAGGAGCTGAAGTCTAGCACCATCTCGACCGTCGTCAACCACCGTCGATCGTCATCGGCCATCGCCGCGCCGTCCCCGCGCCCCCCCCCAACCCTCCACTATCAACTGTCACTGTCGATCATCACCAATCATCGTCGATCACCACCAATAACACATCATCAGTCATCATCATGGGACATGAGCTTATCACTACGGTCCATGTGTCAACAATGTCCTACGTGGTTCACAGCTCGAGCAGTTCCCGACTCCGGCCCCGACGACCTACGAACGTCATTCATTCTCGTCACGACGGCCTATGTGGTCCACACCTCCCGTAACTGCTTACTAAGATTTTTTTGGCTAACCAACACTTATGAAACAGTCATCTGCAACACTCACGATGGACTACTACCTTCACAATAATCATAGTGGATCTGTGTGCCCATCATTCATAGTGGATTATTTCAACTATGTTAGACCCCGTGGTTTTTCCCTCTTTCAAGGTTTCCACGTAAAAAATCGAGGTGTCTCTTCCTGCTTACTTCTTTTCTGTTATTTGTGTGTTTAATTCTCGTGCAATGCTAAGATGATAATCCATGACTCTACCACCGCAAATTTTCTGGCACGCATAAAAAATATTTGTGATTAAAAGATGTTTATTTTGTTACAATCTTATAAAAATATCAATAAAAATTTAGTTACACATTAAATATTTACATTTTATAAATATATGACTATGATCTTAACATCATTGCAAGGAAATGTTTAATTTTGATTTTAACTAAAATGTGACTTAAATTAATTAATCAATTAAAATTTTAAATAATTTCAAACACTACCATACTAAGTGGTGTTTGGAATCACTTTTGTTTATTATTTATTTATTTATTTATGAATCATATTTTTATTCTATTTAAGTGTTGATATAAAATTAAATAAATTTGATGGTGATATTTATTTTTTTAAAAATATTAAACTCATACACATTTTATTTTATATTTAAAAAATTTAGTTCATATAGAAAAAAAAAAAGCAAAAAAATAAGTGAACAAACACGCTAGTAAGAATAAAAAAGAGAATTGACATACATAGCACTATTCTTATAATATATTTACATATCTAACGCCAAAGTTTAATATTTACATTTATAATACCTTGGAATTAAAATCTATGCATCAAAGGATATATTCCATTTTTCAAAAATTTAATAATAGTGATATTTTTAATGTAATATTATGAATTTGGGTGACATTTATGTAAATATGAAAGTTTAGATGTTAGATATGAAAAATGAAATATTTCTGCTAATAACAAACAATATCACAAACCTTACATTGCCTACAAACATGAGATTCATTGAAACACAATACCGCTAGAATCCATGCACATAATTTTCCAAGTATTATTTCATACATATTATAGAATTAGAATATCAATCCATACTGCTAAATGCTGCACAAAGAAGTCACAACAGCATAATATGCCATTCTAAATCTACACTTGCAAATGGCAAAATTATATTTATATCCCAACCCAAAATAAAATCTATACTGAAAAGAAAAGTTTTAGCTTAAAATATTATCAGCTAAAATTTAAATAATTAATGAGTACGTGTTCTCCTTAACAGCTGAAACAGATGCAGTTGTTTTGTAGGTATGATATGGAGACTCATTGGAGTAGTTTGATTCAGATGAAGAGAATTAGAGCTTTAACAACGAATCTGAATGTGATTTGGTCGCATGTTCGAAGAGAAGACAATTCTGTGACTCATTGGACTGCTAAGTTTGGATATACTTGTTCGAGAGCTCAGGCTTTCGTTACATTTCCTGATGAGTTCATAGCTTTGACTATTAAGGATTTACCTGTTTAGTGTTGTTTGTGAGGTTTAGGTGTTTTGTGAGTTGTATTCTTCTTTTTTTGGGATAAGAACCATTTTTCTTTTTTTGTGTAAGTTGTATAGGGTTTAGATTGGTTCCTATTCCTATTTTTGTAATTTTTTTTTGTGATAATAAAATGGAGCCTTTGTGCTCTTTAAGAAAAAAAAATTAATGAGTACATATATTTATAACTCATGGCATGTCCATATCCCCTTATCCTCACATGATTAATTCACATGCCTCTTAAATCAAATAAAATATGTCAAATTTTTCCATAAAATATTATGTAAAATCGAACATCACTTTTGTATCTATATATGCCCAAAATTTCTCTCAATCATGCAAGAATAAAAGGATAAGCAATATATTCCTATGAGTTATAGACGTGTAGAAACCAGTTAATTTATTCAGCTTCAAATATTTTAAGCAAATTTTCTTCCCACAAATGAGGCAAAAAAATTAGAATTCATGGTTCATATCTCGCCACAACTCTAGCCCCTGCAGCCTAAGAACGTTGTCACAGGTTCCCACTACGATCTACGTGATTCATAGCTCCTACAACCTTCAACTTTGGCCCCCGCAGCCTACGAATCACCGCTCACCACCACAACCTACATGACCAATTACGGCCTGCGTGGTTTACAGCGGGTGTAACTCTTGATTCTGGCATGTGTGGCTTTCAGACGTCATCGTAGCTCGCCTCTACAAATATGGTGACCAACTACGGTCTACGTGGCTTACAACTGAAAAAACTTCCTATTATGACCTCAGTGACAAATCGATGCTCCTAAAAAGATCATCTGCAGCTTGCATGACCAACTACTACCATGGATTTCAATTACTGTTTATAAGATAAGCAGGCGCTATGACCGTTGTCTATAACATTTACGATAAACTAGTGTCTCCATAACCACCAACTACGACTCTTATAGCCTACTTTCATCAAGAACTATATTCTCGACGAACCATCGTTGTATATTTACAATGATTATTTTTATAACTCAATATTCTCTAATTTAGGAGAAGCGTGACTCATTAACGCAAAATTATACAGTGAATCATTTCAACTGGTTTTCCACATAAAAATTTCCGGTGTCGCTACTAGTAGCTTCTATCTGAGTGTGTGCTAGATTTCAGTGCAACTCTAAGACGATAATTCATTACATCACCACCGCGAATTTTCTAGCACGCATCAATCATGATATATGGTAGCTTATTTATCATTCATTAGTGTTTGAATTAATCATCCAAGCACTCCAATTACTGATTAACAAGTAGTTTGAAAATCTGCATGGTATATATGTTGAAAATATACAATTTTTTTTACTAGGAAGAGGGCGATTAAAATTTTTTTCTATATTGAACTGATGTTATTGACATATCATAAAAATAAGAAAATTAACTCCACTAGCAAAATAATTAAATAAGTGCCACTAGTACAAGTAATGCCAAAAATAACATGTAGAATAGAAAAATAATTAAATTTATTAAACAATTAAAATCATTATTTCTAAATTATTATACAATACAAAAAATACTTTCTAGCTATAAGTGCCACTAGAATAAAAAAATAGCTAAATATCCAATAATTAATGCCTCGCACATGCACAATATCATATATTTATTATTTCATCACTTTCTTTTTTTTTTTCCTTTTTCAAACATTGCCGTACTACGTGGTGTTTGGAATCACTTTTGTTTATTATTTATTTTATTTTTATTTTTATTTTATGTGTATGTATTAATACAAAATAAAACATATTTACTGATGAAATTAAAATTTATTTTCAATATTAAAAAATAGTTATTTAAAAAAAATCATAAAAATTATACTGAACAAACATGCTATTGAGAATTAAAAAAAAAAATTTATATACAAATGTACTACACTGTATTCACATATCTATCACCTAAGTTTAATATTTACATTTATCTTATATTGAAATTAAAATTTTAGCAAGACAAGATGTATTTCATTTGGGAGATATGCATGTAAATTTGAAAGTTAGATATGAAAATATATTATAAGAGCTAATTTTGGTATGTATGTAAATTCCCTAAAAAGTAAAACAAGGACAGAAAAATGAAATAGATTGTAAATAGCTCCCATATTTCTGCTAGTAACAAATAAAATCACAAACCTTTCATTGCCTTACAAACATGAGATTCATAAAACACAAATACAGCTAGAATCCATGCAAGTAATTTCCCAAGGATTATTTCATACATATTACGTACAGAGTTAGAATTTCAATCCATAATGCTAAATGCTGCAATTACATGTTACAATAAAACATAACATGCCATTCTAAATCTACACTTGCAAAAGGCAAAATTATACTTATAACCCCATCCCAAAATATAATATATATTGAAATAAACAATTTTAGCTTAAAATATTTTCAGCTAAAATTTAAATAATTAGCGAGTACATAGCCATGTCCATATCCCCTTATCCTCACATGATTAATTCACATGTCTTTTAAATAAAATAAAATATGTTAAAATTTTCAATAAAATATTATGTAAAATCAAACATAATTTTTGTATCTATATATGCTCAAATTTTCTCTCAATCATGCAAGAACAAGAGGATAAGGTGTACCAAATCATTGAACTTCAAATATTTTAAGCCATCTTAAAACAAATTTTGATATTTATTAAATTTCATAATATTTTTATTTAATTTCAAATTTTAAAAATTTTAAATATAATACGCTTGAGCTATTTCCTCTTAACTAGAGTCCACCATTAAACTCAACTCCGGTTGCCGGAATCCAGGAATTCCCAGCGATAAAATTCGCTACGGTAAACATAGAAGCCTCAGCAGCCGACATATCCGGGTGCACTCCGGGCCACCTGACCCGACCCGAAGTCCTCGCACCCGGCCCGGTATTCCCGTACTCACCGTAATATAGCGTACTGAGCGCAAAGTTACCGGCCCATCTTTCCCACCCGGCGGAGCTAACCGACCCGTCAATCTCTGTCTCCATAAACACAACTCTGGAGTACTGTTTCCACGGCCGGCCGAGATATGTTGCGGCGCCACCGGTGGCGCCGCCGCTCACCCGACAGCCTTGAATGGAGATACCGGTGTTCTGGTTAGGATCGGTTCGGCCTTGTGCGGTGATTGAATTGTATTGACCGCTGGCGGGTTTGCGGGGTTGAATGAAACAGTTCTGGAAGACGGCGGCGGAGTTGCCGAAGATAAAGTCAACGGTGCCGTAGATATCGCAGTCACGGTAGAATTGACGGTTTGAGAGGGTGTAGAGGGTGTCTTGGTAGCCTTGGATCGAGCATTGGTAGATGACGGAGCGATCGGCGCCGACGCGAAGGGCGACGGCTTGCTGCTTGTTGGGGCCGGAGTCGTTGATGATGGTTAGGCCTTTGGCGATGAAGCCGGCTCCCATGGCGGCTGGTAATTAGATATGTAGAATTTAAGGTAAAATGGTTTATAAACAGAACTTAAAAAAATAAATATAAATATAAAATTTTGATAGTTTTGCTTGAATAAATTCAAAATTCGACTTTTAACTCTCAAAATTGACTCCTGTCCTAAAAAAAAATTCTAATTTTAATTTTAAATTAACTCTAAATATTCTTAATTTATATCAACGAGTTAGATGTACCGTTCTCTATCAACGTCCTGCATGCTCCCACTCAATAAAAATATGTATGGAGGGGTCATGCACTAGCCAGTTGCAGCAGAATTTATAAATTATTAAAAGAAATTTAATAAATGTAATAATTTTTTAAGCTTAATTGAATTACCGACAGTAGCGGAGTCGTAGGTGCTGGAACCATCTTCAGCATTCTTGCTCCCTATGATCACAGATTCCCCCTTCCCATCTCCCATCAGCATCACGTTCCTCTGCTTTGTGGGAATCTTGATGTATTCTCTGTACGTTCCCGCCTTCACGTAAATCACGCTCCTCCCTCCTCCGCCGGTCTCCAACGACACAAACGCGATCGCCTCATTAATACTACGGTGCGTACCGCTCCCATCCTTAGCCACCACCGCCACCGCACGAATGTCCCCCGGCGAAGCTTCTAGAAGCTTCCTGTCCCCCTCACTCACCCACTCCGGAAACCCGCCGCCATCCGTTAACCGCCTCCCGATGCCAACCCTCCCATTCATCCACGCATGCAGCGCGAGGGCATTGCTTATGTACTGCGACAGCAAGTTGACTTGCTCCGTCACGGTTGTCTTCGCTTTTTGGTCAACGCGCGCGTGCTCAAGCCCGTCGGTGCACGTGACCTGGTTGGTCAGCGAGGCGCTGAGCCATGTTTGGATGTCGTGCGCGCTTGACTCCGTTTTCTCGCCGGAGGATCCGATGACGCTGTCGAGCTGCTCGAGGCTGATGTCAAGGAGCTCGAGACAGTCGTTGATGGCAGCAGGAGTGACACCGAGGTTGTGGGTTTCGGCGCGGGCGGCAGCGGCGCGGAGCTTCGCGGATTTGACGGAGACGGCGAAGAGGTCTTGCAGAGACGCGAACGGGGCTCCGGAGAGGGTCGAGTGGCAGACGGCGGGGTAGAGGGTGGATTTGCAGGCTGAGGTTATTAGGGCTGCATTGGAGGAAGATGGAGTTGTGATTGTGGTTTTGAAAAAGTTGAGTCCTTTGGAAACGGAATGGGGTTGGTTTTTGGTGTTGGAAGCAGAGAGAATTATAGCCGTTGATAGAAGGAATAGAATGATGAGCCTCATTCCCTTTGGTTCTCTGCCATGAGGAATGAACAGTATGTTTCTGCCTCTTAAATTAAGCATTTTGAGGGTTTAGAGGAAGGAGGGGGAGATAGAGAGAGGAGAGAGAAGAGGGGAAGATGGAAGTTGTGGTTGTGAACAGAGGATGCTAGGGTTGTATATAGAGGAGAATGAATGGGGTCATAGTCAGTTATAGGAGGGAGTCAAAGTCATGGAACTTATTATGATGAAGGGCTTTAATTGCAGAAATCTTCTATGGCCAAAACAGATTTAAGTTTTAGGTGGCTTTCTGATCCTTCTCTGTGTCTTCTTGTGACGGTCAACAGATGCTGTGTTACGCATTGGCACATAAGTGGAGATGAGCTCGAGAATCTTTAGGAATACATGAAATATTATAAGAATGTTCCGATGCCAATTATTAGAGTTATAGGGTTTTAAGGGCATGGTTTTAGTATGATTTCAGAATATGTAGATTTTTGTTTTAATACATTTACGAAAAATTCATGTATAATTTTCAGTTTTTACTTTGTAAAATCATTATATATATATATATATATGCGCCTTAGTCTCGCTCATTGGTCGTGGTCTTTGGTGTAAGTCCCTCGGGTTGGGAGTTTGATCCTTGCATAGGATCGAATTGCAAAGGGATCCGCCCCTCAATCGGACTATGGGGTTAATCAGCAACCAACCTTTTCAATATCTATATATATATATATATATAATTTTAAATAAATTAGGGGTGTAACATGCAATCATTTTCATGAAATTTTAAATTATATGCTATCAAGATTCATCTAGATGTTTTAAGTATTTATAATATTAACTTTTTTGCGCTTGCTTTATTGGTTTCAATCCGTCGTCTTAAATTATAAGGGAAGAAAGCAACAGCGCATATACTCTAATAAAAATTATTATGCTGTTATTCATTATTCATTAACCTTTATTTTTAATCTAACCGCACTAATAAAGGGGAAATTATTGCCTGCGGACACCGCATGCATCTCTGCATGCGGTGTCCAATCATGACGGTAGATCACGGTGATCTACGGTCAGGATTATTTCCGTTTTTCTTTAAAATTAGGTGGGGCCCACCGAAATACATCAAGACCGTAGATTTGGTAATTTACGGTTCGGATCGGACACCACACCCAAGCTGCGTGCGGTGTCCGATCCGTATGGAATAATTTTTCCTAATAAAGTTGGAGAGAATTAAAAACTTGGAGCCTTTTGTAGCTGATAAGGAAATATAAATATAAAAAAAATAATATAAAATTAAAATGCAATATTATAATTAAATTATTTTAAAATTACTTATTTTTGTTACTCCTTTTTTTTTTTTAGTTTAAAGCATATATTGTAAATCCTTCAAAATATTATTCAACGCATTAAATTTTGATCCAACAAAAGGGTGAAATTACAAAAAAAAAAAGAAAATTACAAAACTAGCACAAAATTCATATCTATTTACATGTCTCACATCTAAACTTTAATATTTCCATGCACAACACTATGGTGCTTTATGCATGCATAAAAATTTGTATTTCACTTTTAAGAAATGATAATTATAGTGTTTCTTATGTGATATTAAGTGCAAATATGAAAGTTTAGGTGTTAGATATGTAAATATATAAGAATTTTGTGCTATGTATGTAAATGCCCGATAAATGTAGCGTATGAGATTTTGCAATGCAGGCAAAAAAAAACACCATCGATAATTTATTGGAGTAATGCTATATTAATTTAGTCATTACTGTAAAAATATGTATTGGATTAATTTCGAAGCACTAATTTTTCAAAACTTACTTGTATATATAGTTTTTACATTTCTGACACCCAAATCTTTCGTTTTCACATAAAAATTCCACCATTATAACTACTAAGAAGCGAAATACATCTTTATAAGGGGGTATGTATGTAAAAATTTAAATTTTGATTGTTAAGTATGTGAATACATAAGAATTTAGTGGTATGGATGCAAATTTTCCATTTGATTAATTAGTCTAATTAAGCTAAGAAATTGCTTGCAATCACTGATAGCCAACAAAACGTTTTAACATATTAGCACTGATTTGAAATAAGTGACAACAATGTCATACGCAATGACTTAAGATGATTAAGATTTTTCTCTATGTTTTTTCCCTTTAATTTTCTCTTAATTTCAACACATTAATAATTCTAAGATTAGGTGCAGGCTACGCATAACATTGTATTTTTAAAATTTCTTCTTTGACTCATGTAAATGTAAATTGCATTTATTGCTAATTTAGACTAATTAGCAACATTTTCTTATACTAAATTAGAAATTTCGATAGAAAAATTAAAAAAATTAAAAAAAATTTGCACAAAAATATGAAAATTAATTTTGCGAAGATACTTAAGTTTACATATATATCTAACACCTAAAATTCAATTTTTACATGCATTCGGCTAATCTAGTCGAGCAAAGGACTAAGACTTTTAGACCACTCGGACCAAGGACTAAGACTAATCTAGTCAAGCAAAGGCATCAACCTATCTATTGTCGCAATTTGACTCAAAAAAAGAATTTAGTATCATCAGCGGTCTCATGGATGCCCTTGGGGTTCCTCTTCACGGGCCAAGAATTGACAATAACATAACCCACAAACACTTCAAAGGACCCCCTGGTTAAGGAATGAGCTATCTATCAGGTTATGGTGATTCACCCTTTGCCGGCACCCTAATCTCATTATGTCGATAGGAGCTCTTTATTTATGAATCGAGGGTTGATATCCAAATTAGCTAAGCAGATCGACAACATTTGGCCAACCAAAAATTTCTTGCCGACTCAAACTCAAATAAGATCAACCGACCAGCTACGCCAACTCAACATAGCTTACTGAGTAAGCTTTACAAAATCAAAGCCCACCAAGCTCAGCCAACAAGGTAAGAAGGTTGCTCAGCTATAGGCTCACATACGTAAAATATCTATAATATCCTATAACAATCCAATTATAGCACGGGAAAACACGTAACTTCAAATATTGTACCCTCTCCTATATAATTAGGGGGATCTTTTATGAAAAAAATGGGCTAATTGATAAGACTTATTACTTTTCATTACTGTGCACCCTTACTCTTTTTCTCTCTTTCTCTTCTTCTTTTATGTTCTATTTTCTTGAGGCCTGACTCATGAACAAATCAAGATTTAAAAATATAATTGGTTGAGGCATGCAAAACATTAACAAAACCCTATTAGATCGTTAGTAGAGGTTTATTAAATATCATTGAATTAATGGAGGCATATAAATATTAACAAATGTTTGCAAATTATTAGTTTAAGAGCTTCATGACAAATTAATGTTACAATATTGTACGTAAATGCCTCGCCGGTAATGTTGTATGCCAAAAAATTTTTAGTGATGGAGTGATTATTTAATGTCATAGAATTACACAAGATCCAGCTCACAAATAAAATAAAATAAAAAAAAAACACTAAGATTTTTTACATGAAAAAATCATGGAGACTAGTGCGATCAAATAAATTCATCATGTGTTTGTAAGTAAAGGGGCACATACTTCTCAGACAAAAGAAAGATTGAGATTAAAATCTTACACAAAAATTATACTTGTCTTCATACAACCCAAAAAAATAGATATGTTAGACATAACAAATGTATTTCGACTATATTGATTGCAACAGAGGTCAGCGACAATCAGTGGTCGGTAGTTGGCGGTGGTAGGCAATGATGGTCCACTGTGTTTGATGGTGATCAACGGTTGATGATCGATGACTATAGAGACTTATGATTATTCACAGGGCCTTCTCTCCATATCGATGGACTCTGAAATTTCTCTTCTTCCCTCCTCCTTCGAAGTGAAGAGAAGGGCATATTTATAGCTATTTGGAGAAGCACATTGTGGTCTTTGAAAGCATAACTTTTCTAAACACTTGATTGGACAGTCCTTGTTGTCCCCCCTCTGATCATAGATTTTTTTTAATGGTTTGAATGCCTAAATAACCTCATAATTTACAAAGCATAGGTTTGTTGGATTTCAATTATTGAGACACTCGGTTTGACCGCAAATTTGTTTAATTTGAAGTTCATTCGATCATGCAAGTGACGACCCAAAGACTCTAAATATGCTTCAATGTCTTGATCTTGGCTTGACTGAGCCTGAATTGAACCAATTTTAATATTATTGTCTTGTCAGGACAATCAGTTTGCTATGTTTGCTGAAATTGGGGCCTTGATAATCTTAAATTTTAATTAGGAAGTTCCTTCATTAAAAAAAAGTATCGAGATTAGGGCTATCAAAATGGCTTGTTGTTCGCGACAGCTCGTTAAGAAACTCGTGTTCGGGTCGTTCGCTAAGTTAACAAGCCGAAAACGAACAAACATTTGTTCGATCGTGTTCGACTCGTTTTGGCTTTGAATACTACTCATCATATATATATATATATATATATATATATATATAATATATATATATATATTTGTGTGTGTGTATTTGTATGTGCATTTATGTATGTATTTATATGTACGTATGTATGTGTGTATGCATGGATGCATGTATGTGTGTGTGCATGCATGCATGCATGTATGTATGTATGTACGTATGTATGTGTTTATATGTATTTATGTACTTATATATCTTTGTGTGTGTGTATTTGTATGTGCATTTATGTGTGTGTGTGGGTTTGGCATGAGAGAGAGGCAAAGGCTTGTAGATTTTCTTTAAGAATTGTAAGAGGATGTATGTGTGTGTGTATGCATGTATGTATTTATATGTATGTATGTATGTATTTGTGTATAAATGAGTCGAACATAAACACGCCTTTTTATCTCGAAATATAAACAAGCCAACCACAAGCTGAGCCTGGGCTCGCTCGTGTTCGACTTGTTTACACCCTTAATCAAGATTCATGGTCAATAACAATTATTGATGACACATGAATTATTCCCCTATTTTCGGATGATGCTTGTGTTGTCCAAAAATATAACTTCAAACATTCTAAAATTCTGTACTTTGAGGAGATTTCAACATGTATGCTCTATGGAGTTTTGATCTTATTGTCGATGTTCTAGTTCGTGGTGGTGGTGGTGATCGGGAAGCAGAGGTTGAGTGGTGGCTTTTGGGCGCTTTGATGCTTAGGCTTGCTTGCACAAGCGCATGCCAAATGAGTATGTTTACATGGTTAAGGATGTAATAGAGTCCACAGGT